GCAGCTAGCACCGGTTCGCTGTCATAGGCCAGTTCCACTGTCTCGTAATGGCCCAACGTCGCCAAGAACTCAGCAATCGCCTCACCAATCACGCCTTGGTTCTTGTTCTTCAAAGGTTGAACCTGTAGGAACTTGCTCCATACATCAACGCACAGTAGGAGACTGTTGCTAGCTGTCTGGAAGAAGATGTCCACCTGCACAGTGGGATTTGTTCTGACTGCAACATCTGCTGGATCGCTGGCATACTTGATGTTTGCCTTGCGTTTGCCCATGACACAAAAACTGCACCACCTTTTGAATGGAAGGTGGGTGACTTCATGGAGTTTCCGCTCCTTCTCTGTTGGTTGAACTGGAGCATCAACAAATCTTGGCTCTGGGCACAGCTTTGCATAGTCCTGGCGAGCAACCTCAAGGGCACGTCTCTTCAACGACTGCTCATAGGCATCTCTGATCCTGTTGAAGATCTTCGTCTTGGAACCTGAGCTGCTCAACTTCAAATATTTTGCTGCTTCCTTGAGGTCTTTCACACTGGATCTCTCTGTTAGCTGCATCTCGCCAATGAACAAAGTGTCCTCTGTGCCTCTGGGCTTGAACGAAGGTGCAATGATCGGGAACTCTGGAATGTCTTTCCCTTCAATCTCTTGCTCTTCAACCTTCTCACCTTCTGTTGTCTCCTCCATCTGAACCTCTTGCTCATCTTCCTGTTGCGCTTCAGGTACTGGTGGTTCATCACCTCCGATGAGCGTACCAAAGCTACCGAGGTTCTCCTCACGGTCGGACAGAATGGTCAAAATCACGTACTGCTCACCTGAAGGGATCTCGGAGATTCGACCAAATGGGTTCTCCTGTTCCAGAAACTTTTGTGCCACCTCCACAACTTGCCAACCTTCTTCTGGATTGATCACCTTCTGAATCAATGTTGTACGGAATGCAAAGTTTGCTGACCAAACTGCTCTCGGATCGGCGAAGTGAACTCCAACGCTCCTCATGTGGGGATGGTTGTTCGTGACATCCCACCTGCCATAGGGTAGTTCAGGCTCGTAGTTCGGGCTGAGCCTGATCACTGCCCTCACTTCATACAACTCCTGGTCAATCTCTGTTGCCGTCACCTGGCAAATCATGGCCTCAATGGCAAACGAGTTGCGTTGGAACATCACTGGAATCTTCGCCTCTTGATCTGGCGAAATCAAGAACTGCTCTGGACCATCGCTCTTCAACATCCATCCACTCTTATAGAGCTCACCCAAGGACAAAATGCAGTTGTGGACATTTCCAACTAAAAACCGGTGGTGAATCTCAACTTCCTCACCAGATTTTGCATCAAACACCACCAACGTTGCATCTTGCTGTCCTGCAGTCCTTAGGCTTGTACCTTGGCAGTCTTGAAGTCGAACGTTGCTCTCACCAATGTTCTCGTTGGCGTAGCTCAAGGGCAACAATGAGACATCTGATCCACTATCAAGGATCACCACTTTTCTGCAAGTCTCAACAACTTCCTCTTCATTGATCTCCTGAATGACCACGCAAACAGAACTGTCAGCATAGGTGCTCACTGAGGGCGGACCAATGTGGAAAATCCTCCTCACTGCAGTGTTCAAGGTCGATGCATTCGAAGCACTAGCTGTTGTGTTTGTTGTTGACATCTGATGACCTTGCTGCTGTTGAACATTGGTCTCTGTAATCTGCTGAACCCTCTGTGGACAATCGCGGCTCCAATGACCATAGCCATAACACACTCTGCACTGGTTTTGACCAACATCGGAACCTTTCTTGCCGCTGCTTTTACCTTTCTGTTTGCCCTTTGACTTGCCACCTTGCTTGCCCTTGTTCTTTCCTTTGGACTTACCACCTTTCTCGAACTTGCCTTTGCCCTTCTGCTGTCCTCCACGGCCACCAAAAGGAAACTGCCACCAACTCTTGCCTTTGTCTTTGCCCTTTCCTTTGTACTTGCCCTTTCCTTTACCTTTCTCTTGCACTCGGTCCACCTCCATCGGCGCTGGACCGTTAGGATCGGGGCTCACATTCAAGGACTTCATGATCGACTCCTGCGACCAAGTTTTGCTTGCCTGCTCATGTGACAGAACAGCCTCTCTGATCTCATTGTAGGTGGTCGTCTCCTTGATGGTGAGCTGGAAGCGCTCTCTCAACCTGTTCTCACTGCATCGAATCAATGTTGCTGCCTTCAACTCTTGTGGGTATGTTGTTCCTGACATCTTCTCAAACTCTTGCACCAACTGCTCGTAGCTGAGCACATTGTCGAGCACTGTCTTGTCCTTGGCAAACGAGGGATAGCTTGCCAGGGCCTGAGCAAGGGCCAGACTTCGTGCCCGAGTGCTTGGAAGGTATTCCTTGTGAAGCTCCTTCCACAATGCGAAACCATTCCGCTGCTCCATGCCTGATCTGACCAGGTGCAAGCATCGTTCTTTGAGGTAGCTGGTCAGGATTGCAAACAACCGGGTTGAAAACATCTGTTCATCCTCTGTATATGCAGACATTGCCGGCGTGTGATCTAATTCCTCAACTTTCTCTAGAAAAGCTTTGTACTTCGGCTCTGCAAATGTCAGCCAGCTCGTGAACACAAACTTCCACGTCAAGAAGCCATGGGGATCACTTCCATCAAAAGTGTCTGGGTTTCTCAACACCTTGGATGCGGCCGTCAATCCAGCCTGCAGTGTTCCAGCCACACCTGCACTCGAACTTGAACTCGAAGCTCCACCTGCCGTCTGCAATGCTGTCAATGCATGCTCGGCTGCACTTGCTGCATTCGTGGCTGCAGCTGCAAGTTGCGACATCTGTTGGAAGAACTGTTCATCAGCTTGCATGCACTGAGTGGATCGCACCAAGCTTAGAAAAACCAATGTCCGTACCTGCAACCTGCACTCACTCTTCCTCCTAGCTACTTTCTTCTTCTCTGTCCTCGAAGATCGCCTCACACTTGCTGTCCAGCTCAAGCGGTTCATCAACCAGGTGATTGACAAGCTGAGGATCCATGCAACCCAACAACCTGTCACACCTGTTCTTCTCCACACGCTGCTCAAAGCCATCATACACCAACCTGTCAACTCTTCAGCCAACAATGTACGACCTGTATGAACAACTGCCTGCTCAAACTGCTTCAGCTTCTCCTTCATTTTCAACACCGTGCTCAACAGCTCATAATGCCTCTGGTTGCGAATGAATGGCCAATGCAAGACTTCTCTCAAGAAATCACTGCTCTCGCTCATCGACCACATCAACAAACTAATGGCCTCGAAGAACCTGTTCATCCTTGCCAGATTCAACTCGCTCGCTTCCACAAGTTCATCTGTTGGGCTTTCAACACTCTGGTTCAAGTCTTCGATGGTTGAACTCTCATTCATCTCCTCGGTGAAGATCTGTCTGCTCTTAACTTCCGTCCTCAACGGCCATGTTCGACCTGCCATGACCTCTCCGGGCCCACAGTCCATGAAGCCTGTGACCATCTTCTCACACACAACCTCACCACTTTCACAACTCTTCACCTGCATGCCACTCGACCTGCGCCTCCTTCTCAACAACTTCAACTCAAAGCTTGTGGCTCCTTTGTTGCTCATCCTGCTCACCTCGTAGGCCTTGAACCCACTTGCAACCTCATGCCAGGCCTCAAACACAGTCACCACACGCTGCTCGTCCAGCATCGTCGAATTGCTGTCCCAGGAGCCCTCTGTCATCCAGCTTTGCGTGCTACTGCCATTGGCGGGACTGACCAATGCAGTTTCCTTCGTGAGGTGCTCCGTCGGCAGGAACAAAACCTGCCATGCGACATGGCACCAAGCCAGGGCGCGGCCGGGTAGCATCATCGCACCGGTCGGAACCAGTGCTCCGCTACCATCCGAAAGTCGCGGCCTTTTCCGCAAACCTTGAACCGCTATGTTACACACACATGATTTCGTGCGTGTCATCCTTGTGGCAGGGTGCACATGCTCAGTTCTGACAAAATCACAACATTAATCATCAACATCAATCGACATCACATAGACCAGTTGCGTGCCACTCGTTTGAACAACTGTTCAGGTCTGCTGAACGCCATCCGACGTGGGAGAAAAGAGGCATGAGGGGTCCGCTTACGACCAATCAGCCCGGTGTTCTTTGTTCCAGGGAGGAAGTAGATCGAACTGATCACACTAGTTTTCCCTAAGTTTCCAAGTTTCCCAATGTTTCATCCAATGATAGTTTAATTCTGTCCAAACTCCCACACTGCAAGCGTCTGGAAGCACCTTCCCCTTCTTACTTCCAGGACAACGAAAATGTCCCGAGTCCAGAAGTTAGATTCTCGAGAAAAACCTGTCCAATCCCACTTCGCACTTCCAGGAAATGTTTCAGTAGGATTCACTACGGGGTGTCAATTCTGCAGTGACATAAGCGCTTTTGAAAACCTGTTAATGTTAAATTACTTTCGGGGGGTTCACGGCTCAAAAAATGTGGAGGAAAGCTTTCAATGGGGAACCAGGATGGTTTTCGCAAGTGCTCTTCAATCTGGATCAACTCACTCACAAGCACACATTGGTAGTCTCAAGCTGATGAAACAGCTGATGAAGTAGTTGGCTCTGCGAAAGTTTTCATTGGTGCCTTGCCATTCAAGTAGGCACAAACACTGTAGTACAAACCAGTTCAGGGGCAGACTGAATACCAAAACGCGAGGCTGACCCAGAGGTGAAAAAACCTATGCAAGAACTCATTATGCCTGCCAGGCCGAGGGTGGGCCAAACTATTCTTGAACATTTGGTCTCCCTCCATGTATTCTTGGCTGATTCGGAACAACCTTTAGCAGGGTCTAGGAACAAAAGTTTGTTTGAATGCAACGCAACGCATTGAAGAATGGAAGAGTTTGCTGGAAGTAAAATGCCACAAAAAAACTGCAAAACAAAAACAAAAAGGGGTGAAAAACTGGTGGGCTCAAACTTTGTGATGCGAGAACAACGTAGTTGCAAAACAACGTGTACTGTTTGTGTTGGACTTAGAACGGCAAATATGCGCATCGATCATTTACAGAAGTGACAGTTGTTCTCAATGAACCTTTTCTGCTGGCCACAAGTTTCGCCCTGATCAAGTGTTTTATCAAAAAATTCAATGTCTAGCTGAACGCCCTTGATTGTCTGTTGGGCTGGATTTGACGTGGTTGACAACTTCATTGATACAGCAACTGATAAATGTTCAGGGTTTTCAACCCAAGTCGGTCCAAGGATCCAGCTCAAAAATTCAACCACTTGCAGAGCACCATCACCATTGCTGTCGGCCCCAGCAAGCAGCGAGTCGATGCTGGTATCGTCCCAGCTGTCTTCGTCCAAGGTTTTCAGCACTTCAACCAGCTCCTGGGTTCAAAAAGCTGGTTTGGAATCGCACGGAACTGGAACCGATACAGGCCACTACGACACAGGCAGAACGGGTCCAAGCTACCTCTGGTACAGTTGTTTGCCTTCCCTGTTTCCCCATGTTTCCCCTGCTTTCCCTGGCGCTCCGTCCTCCCGGCTAATCACGCCATTCCTGTCTTTGTCATAACGTTGAAACACATCAAACACAGCCCGGTTCGCAGACATGTTCGCAAACTTGCTTCGGGTTGGCTGGGCTACTTTGAGCCCACTTTGCGGTTTGCTGCGCTCGATCAAAGTTGCAGAAGTGCAGAAAACCCACATGTGAGACCCAAGAAAGGAAATGCGTCGCGTGAATGTTTTTTCGTGCGCAAGACGCTCCCCTAATTAAGGACGTGCAGTAACTGCGAAATTGATTGCAGAGGGCGTGGAGCAAGGCCCGGCGCCGGACCCAATTTAAAGGAGCAGGCCCGCAAACAGCGGAGGTCGTCGGCGCGCTTCAGCGATGGTGAGGGCGGTTCCGTGGCACACCACGGGTGCGGGATGGTGTTGGCAACTGGCCAGCGCAGCCTAGTTCCAGGCAGAGCGCCACAGCTGTGCGTGCTGGGCACAGCTCAATATGTCCGGCCAGGGCCGCAACCAGCTGGGCAGGCTGCAGCCTCCCGACTGCACGGCATGAAGAATACATGCGAAACTTCATGAGGGAAATGTTCAGAAAGCATGACAACAAGGACGTTGGAAAACGGTCCAAAACATGCCCCCGCGTTGATGCCAGGCGCTGTGCTTGAACACGCGCCAAATTTGATCCCAAAACAAGCGTCAGAACATTATGCCGGTGCACATGGCAAGCAGCATTTGCCGGGACAATCTGTCACTCCAAATTGTTTCTGACTTTGGTGGTCATTCGACGTGGGCATCCATCATTGATTCAGCCTCTCAGGGTAATTTGTAATTACAACACCACCCCTTTGCAGGGGGGACCTCCCAATACATGTTCCTATGGCTTTGGCCTAACAAATGTACTATTACATTTTGAAGGTACGTATATGAGCCAACATGGGAACCTCCCCTTTCTTCAGGTTACAATTTTTAAGAAAATGTAAGTTACTTCCATTCAGGCTGGGAGATATGTGCACTGAACGCATGAAAGGAAACTGTGAAGTTGGACAAGTGGTACTCACACCACAAGTGTCTAAGACACGCACAAATGAGAAGTGTACCAGTTTACTAACAGACCGCTGTTTGCAGTTCAAAAGCTGCTTCCGCATGGTAGCGGAGCCTGAGAAGGCGACTCCTTAGGGTTTCGCTGGAGGCTCCAGGAAGCAGAGGGTTTTCCGGACAGGACCCAATCCGGAGGGGCGGCCCGCCATTTCGGCCGCTGGTCGCTTTGTTGCTGGAGGTGTTGGGGCCTACATCCTGATCCCCAAGGAGGTCCTTGTCAAGGAGCATGGCAGGATTTGGTGGTGGAGAGCCTTTCGGCTCACCAGCGGGATCTCCGGCTGGATCCCCAACTGGGGCACAGGTTGGAGGGCAGGAGTTGGCCCTGAGGATGGTGCAAGCTGCTGAGCAGGCGAGCGTTGCAGCCCGCTTGGCGGCTGAGGCTATTAACAAGAAGTCCGGAGGTGATGATCGAGCATGGTTTCGAGTCTTGCCCAAACCATGCAGTTACGAGCCCAAGTCCCGTGAAGATGAACTTTCCCTATGGCGTGACTTCAGCTGGGGCTTAGAGCAATATCTTGCTTCGCTGGACGCAGGTTTCGTCGAGGACATCAAGGAGATTCGAGAGCATCCAGATCGCCCCGTCGACACGTCCCTGCAGTCAGATGAGGAGAGACAGAGAGGGTCATTCCTATATGCCTTGCTCGCCTCACTAGTCCGACATCGCCCGCTGTCCCTTATCAAGCAGGTCAAGGAGGCCAATGGCATGGAGGCATACCGAATGCTGGTCCAGTCACTCGAACCAGCTAGCAAAAACAGGTCATTAGGACTCCTCACGATGATCTTGGAGTGGGGCCAGTTCGACATGAAGAAGGGTGGCATACTGACCCAGCTGCTTCGCCTCGAAGAGGCCTTCATCGAGTATGAGCGCACTGGAAGCAAGTTGGAAGACAGCCTGAAGTTTGCCATCCTGATGAAGTGTGTGAGTGGCCAGTTGAAGATGTGGCTACAGCTCCACGTAGCAGAAAGCCAGGATTATACAAGACTCCGTGAGGCGATCATCCAGTATGACAACGCTACGTTGAAGTGGAGCTCAACGATGATGATGGGTCAGGACAGCGGAGGACCTGCGCCAATGGAGATCGATCGCATTGGCCAGAAAGGTGAGAAGGGCAAAGGGAAGCAAAAAGGAAAGGACGCCTCGAACTTCAAGGGCAAGGGCAAAGGTGATGCCAAGAATTCGAAAGGAAAAGGAAAGGTCCAGCAGAAGGGCTCGGACTATGGCCAAGGGAAGAACCAGCAGAAGGGCAACGGCAAGGGTGACGCTCAAAAAGGCCAGAAAGGAAAAGGCGATGGAGGCCAAGTGAAGGTTTGCTACACCTGCGGCAAGCCCGGTCACCTTGCTCGAGACTGCTGGCGAGTTCGGCAAGTGGCAGATGGCTCACCACAGCAGCAGACCCAGAGTCAGGGAGATGCCTCATCAACGTGGACATCGACAAGTGGGAGTCAGGCCACTACTGCAAAGACGGCGACCGTGAAGAGGATCATGGAGTTGAGCCCGGTTTCACAAGAATTTGAGAAGCCCCTGATCTTTGATTTGAGGGGAAAGATGCATGATGGTCAGGTGAGGATGATTCAGTTCTACAGCCTGGATGAGGAGAGCTTCAACAAGGGCGACGAGAAGGAGCTGAGCATTATGATGGTTCAGGCTGGAGGAAGAGGGCAGGATCTTGGTGAGACATGCCCCATCATCGTGGACTCTGGGGCAGATGCAACAGTTCTCCCAATCTCCTACCTGGAGGCTGGTGTGGAAGTTGAGGAGGATGGACCGCTGTTGCAAGATGCTCAAGGGGAACAGATTTCCATTGAGGGCTACAAGAGTGTCTGCTTCGTGTTCGAGGCGGAGAGTGGCAAGGAGATCCAGATCTACGAGAAGGCTCATTTTTCCAAGGGCATTTCACAGCCGATCTTGTCTTTTGGACGGCTGATGGAGAGTGGCTGGGGAATTGCAGATCATTCCCTGGTGTATGGTTCAGGTGATCATGAGGTCAAGATCCCATTGCGCCTACAGAACAAGAGCTTGGTGGCAGAAGGTAGTGTTCGAACTATCTCGATCGAGCCACAGGTGGTGAGAGTCCTTGAGGCAAAGCTCAAAGAGGACCTTGAGGAGAAGGCAAGGTTCCAGACAGGATGGAAGGACTTGGGAGACAGATGGATTGGCATCCACCTGGCCAAGACCTTGCAGAGTCCGCAGTACGTGGGTAGCATCCCATCGGCAGTGAGCTGGAAGAGGACAACGTTGGCAAAGGTTGCTGGTGCTTGGCAACTTCTGGAGATGTGTGAGGATCTTCATCGGATCTTCAACCAGGAAGAGGAGATTGAGGGCGCAAGGGAGAATGTCATGGTCATCACCATCTTGACCAAGGAGGCCATGAGTGTGGAAGAGATGGGCTTTGAAGTGGACACTGGACTCCATATCGATGAGCAGCCCATGATGGTCCGTGACCATGAGGTGCCGTTGGAGGAGATTGAGATCCCAGAGCAAGAGCAGCCTGCTGAGAGAGTGGAAGAGGCAGGAGGAGAAGTCGAGCAGGAGGCTAGGCTAGCTATGGGGCCTGGCATTCCTGATCACATCATGGTCAATGGCATTGAGCTCACATCAGTCAGCCCGCTGAGACAGTTGAGAGCGGCATGCAACTTCTTTGGTGTGAGCCAGTCGGGAAGTCGATTGAGGTGTTACCAGCGACTGGTCAGTCACATGAAGGAGATGGAGCTCAAAGCAGCAGCAGAAGCAGTGGCCGCAGCCCAGATGCAGGTAGCTCGACAGCCCAGAGAACAACCAGTCATCCCGGTCCCGTCACAGGAGGAGCAGGAGAAGCATTGCCTGACCCATGTGCCGTATCAACCTTGGTGCCCGGCATGCCTGAAACATCGAGGCCGACCTGACCGGCATATGAGGACTGGAGCTTCACGGTTGAGTGGCATTCCAATCATTTCATTGGACCTATGCTACACCAAGGCTGGAGAAGTTGATCGTGATCCAAAGCCCTTAGACAGGGGTCAGGAGGATGAAGAGATGGTCATTGATGTGTACGAGGAGGAAGAGTCCAAGGAAGCTGAGGAGCTGAGAATTCGAGAGCTCAAGCCGGCCCTGTGGATGATCTTGGTGGACAGCCAGACAGGAGCGCTCGGCTCAGTCCCGTTGAAGTCGAAGGGACAGCTCAGCTTGATGGCTCGCGAGATTATGACCTTCATCCAAAGCCTTGGACATGTTGAAGTGGGCCTCTATGCCGATAACGAGCCCACGATGAGGTCATTGTTGAGGATTGTGTTGAATAGCCGGCATTCGATGGGCCTGAGGACAAGGTTGTATACGACCAAGGTGAAAGACTCTGCAGGCAACAGCTTGGCCGAGAATGCTATTCAGCGTGTTCGTGGGCTAGCGTGCACATTGATGTCGGATGTTGCAGAGAGAACAGGTTTGAAGTACAACACAAACCACACTTTGTGGAGTTGGGCCTCACGACACGCATGTTGGCTCCTGAACAGGTACCAAGCTACGAAGGGCATCACCAGCTATGAGTTGGTGCATGGACGAAGCTATGATGGCGCAATTGTGCCATTCGGATGCCCGGTCTATGCCTATGTGAAGCCACAGAGTGGAAAGGGCAACCCACGCTGGAGGATGGCTCTTTTCCTGGGAAAGACAGATGGCCAGGACGCTTGGATTGTGGGCGATGGGAGCCAGATTATGTTGACGAGGTCAATCAGGAGAGTTAACAGACCCTGGACAGGTTTTCTCAGCTATTACCAGAACTTCATGACGGCCAGCTGGGAATATCAAACGAACTTTGGTGGGAGGATCATCCCCACCAAACGTGCTGTGACAGGGATACCCTTGAGGACTGGATCAATGCCAGCGCTGGAATCGGTTTTCTTCAAGTATAAGGATGAGGAGGCCGAGGAAGTGAAGAGATATGCACAATCAAAGGAGGGACTGGCAGAACATGAGCAAGAGATTGAAGAAGCTCGCCACGAACGAGAACAGGCCGACCTACAAATTGCTGTTG